CCTTATACTCTTTTAATGACCAAATTGTTTTACTATGACAAATTGAAAATACAGTTGACCCTTCAACAATGCACGAGTTAGGGGTACTGATGCCCACCCCCAGTCAAAAAGCCCCATATAACTTTTGACTCCCCCCAAACTTAACTACTACTAATAGCCTATTGATTGGAAGCCTTACCAACATAGTCAATTAACACATATTTTGTATACATATCTTATACTGTATTCTCACAATATAGCAAGCTAAAGAAAATACTCAGAAAATCATAAGAGAAAATACACTTAAAGTACTTTACTGTATTTATTAAGGAAAAAAAAATTTGCAGTAAGAGGACCCCACACAGTTCAAACCCATATTATTCAAGGGGCAGCTGTAGTTTAATATTTTTAAAAAAATTTTTACTTATTTATTAAAGAGCACACACAAGCAGGGGTAGGGGCGGGCAGAGGGAGAGCAGGCCCCCCCGCCTCGGAGCAGGGAGCCCAATGTGGGGCTCGATCTCAGGACACTGGGATCACGACCTGAGCCGAAGGCAGACGCTTAACCAACTGAGCCACTCAGGCGCCCCTGTAGTTGAATATTTTGAAAATTTCAGTCTAGTTGGCACATGAAGTTTAATCCAATGTTATGATTACTAGTAAGAGTTAACTCCCATAATGTAAAAGAGGCAAGTGGTAAAAGTTAATGAGCACAAGCTCAGTACTGATAAATATACCCTTTGCATTTATGTAGTAGCTTCAATTACAGGTCTCCAGGGTCTCTGTATATCTGTACATCAATTTGTTAATGGGAAAAAGCTGGTTGGGGAGGCAGGGCTGTGCACAGTGACTCCACCCAGGAGCTCTGGAAGCAGAAGAGGGCCCAGAGAGGAATGTGTGGGGCATGCCATTTATCAGAGTCGGGTAGAAAAAGCGAGACTGGCACATAGGGTTTCTGGAGCTCCAAGTCAACCATGTTAATGGTGTGAGCTACCGACTCAAGCTTCTCTATTCCAATTAGCTACTTTAGGACTGTAATGATTTATTGACTTAGAGGAAAGACACAGGGGCTACACATGGCAGTTACCTGTTAAAGAGCACAGATTAAGACTACAAGTGTTTTTTGGGGTGCCTGGGTGGCTCAGTCGTTAAGCGTCTGCCTTCAGCTCAGGTCATGATCCCAGGGTCCTGGGATCGAACCCCACATCGGGCTCCCTGCTCCGCGGGGAGCCTGCTTCTCCCTCTCCCACTCCCCCTGCTTGTGTTCCCTCTCTGTCAAATAAATAAAATCTTAAAAAAAACCCAAAAAACTACAAATGTTTTGAAGACATCTTGATGGTTCCATCTTTGTATTTTTTTTTATTATGTTATGTTAGTCACCATACATCATTTATTCTCATTTCCATATTGAACCTGCTCATTCATTCATTAATTCACTCCACAAACATTTATTGAGCACCTGTTACATGCCAAATATTTTCCCAGAAACTGGAGATACGGCAGTGAAGAAATCTGACAGAGATCCTTGTCTTCCTGGAACAGTTTAGTAGGGTGTTAGGTGCTAAGTGCAATGGAGAAAAAGACGCAGAAGGGAGGAGGAAGAAGTAGGAAGTGTTGCAGGGAGACAGGAGAATTCGGAGGCTATTTAAGGCAGTCACTTGGGAGAGTAGGCACATTCTGTAGAGCCACATGAGTCATAACCAAGGGGTAAACAATAGGACTAAATTACATGATGGCTGAACTTCCCAACTATTAGAGTTGTTCGAAGATAGAACTTTGCAGAAATAAATGTCTCCCCGGTCCTGGACATGTTTAAACAGAGCTTATGCCACTGGCTGGAGCGAGGACCGAATGCCTTCTCGGATCACTTTGAGCTCTGAAAGTCACTAGTAGAGATCAAATTTGGTGGAGAAGAGAGCCATGCAGTCATGGGGTCTACCGTACTGAGAGGGCCAAGGAGACAAGCTTCTGGCTGGGGGGTCCCATTACTACACCGGGAGGTGTATATATTGGGGATTCCCTGTAGCCATGGTAACTGGTTCTTTGACCAAGCTGGATTACAAGAGTTGCCTGATCGTTTGCTTCCTTTAAATGCAATGAAGATAGTCTGTTATAAGTAGTTGCCCCTACGGCTACCTGCTTCTCTTTACGTCTGACAGGAATACACATCACACCGTGGGATCAAAGACTTACCAGGTCTGACAAGGTCTTCCCATTGCATAGTGTTGGGAGATGAACCATCAGTAACCAGATGTTGTTGATGTAAAACGCTGGTTTTTTTGTGCCTGTTTTTAATATATATCAACTCATCTTTCTGAAATTTTTCTTTTTAATTTTGGGATATCTACTCAGGATTTTTTTTTTTTTTTTTTTTTTTTTTTTACGATGAGGTGTAACTGACACGCAAGGATTCGGATTCTTTATAGCAATTAGTAAAGCTGCATTTTTGTCTTTGCCTCCCCAAGTTTCAAACGGATGCAGCACGTTTTACACTTGTGTTTGTGTAATACACATAATCAGGTTTGTCATCAATACAAGTGTCGTCTGGAAAGTACCAGTCATTTCACACTTCACTTTAATGAAAGGGCTGGCTTGGATGCACAAAGATTTGTCTCAATTTCTTGTTACGATTGGCTCAGGCTCTCAACAATTCACTGGTTGGTAGCCACGTAGTACTGGCTGTTCGATCGGCGTGTTGATGCTTCTTCCTGGTTAAAGAGGGACCTGAGAGATCACCTCGTCCAACACTCTTGCTTTAAAATGGAGGAAACTGAAATCCAGAAATGTGAAGGAACTTCCTCAGTGTGATAGCTGTTCCGCTGTCTGGAGCACAGTTAAGTAAGAACCATTTCAGATCCTTGAAACCCGGTACTGCGGAAACAATCCGCTTCGCTGACTACAGACTAGTTTGTTTCAGACATCAGAACGAAGGCTCACGGGTCCAGAAAAATCCCTTTTGCTAGGGTTGGCCCAGAGAAAGGTCCAGTTCTTGCTGTGAGGTGTGCCTGCCACTGGCTCCACCTGGGGGACTATTTCAGGCTGTCATAGGAGTCACTTGGGGGCTGGAGTGCCAGTCCAAGTTTATATTCTGTGAATCTGACTTCTGAAATGACTTTGGGAGTGTGCTAGGGTGACTCCGGGCTTGTTATCTCAAGTCACGTCCCCTGCCTTGGTGGGCAAGCTGGAATCTTCTTAGGCTTCTTTTCTCTTTGGGATGTCGAAGATCAGAATTTCTTCCCTTTAAGAGTAGAAGTGATTCTGTTTCTTGTTTACACCATGGGCTCTATAAGCTCTAACACAGCTACATTGTTCGGATTTGCCTGTGCAGAGCCTTCCTTCTCCCACATGCTTCCCTGCAGCTTTCACACCAGGCTTGCTCAGGAACTTGATATTCAGGGTAGCTCTACAGGAATCCTCATTCGTCTTTGGCATTTCCACTCTTCCCAACACTGCTGCTCCTGCCAGGAGTTGGGATGTGACGTCCTCTGCTGTGTCACCCTAGGGAATGGGACTGATGACAATTCCGCAGTCACAAGGGAATACCAAAGCAAAGAATCTATAGAAGGGCAAACTTTAAGTGAGCAAGCTTGCTCAAGGTTGTCCCTCCTTGCCAGCCACACCCAAGACAAGGGAGTTCCCCCTTTTTTTCAATCCATAGATGAGGAAATTTGTTAGTGCAGCTTGTGAGAGCATTCCTAGTGCAGGACCCACAGGGTCAGGCCCTCTGGGCAGCAAAAGAAATCTGAGCACTGAGTTGTACTGAACATGGCGTTAAGTTTAAACATCCAGAGGATTCTTCAGTTCTTAAGCTGCAGGACGTAAAGGAACTTTTGATGTCCCACTTTTCAAGAGCGTTGTCTTGTCAGTTCTGAAGCTCTTTTATTTCCACTGCTTCAATAAGGCCGCAGTGGCTCGGACTTTGCTGTCAGCAGAAAGAGAGCTGCAGAATTGTTTGCATAGTAAGATCTAGTCTAAATACATAAATTATCCATCATATACATTTTAATGGAATGCACCAGAATAATAGTACAAATTCAGTTTGCCAGGTAATTGCACCTGAACATTTAATTATGTAGGCAGAGTTTATTATTAAGTAGGTTCTTAGCTCCTCAACTTTTTGGGTGGATAAAGGAGGTTTTTTGACATGGGCCTTTGGCTGACATGGGAGTAGGAGCATACCCTGTATGAACATTATAATGAACCTGTGTGTGTGTGTCTGCACATTCTGCACACAGACGAGAACTAGAGTCTCTAAACACATCATATGTGCAACTAAGCAAGCACAGTTCTCTTTATGAAATGCTAGACTGCAATGACTTACAACTACCTTCCTGCACTGAAGCTGGGAAGGAAAAAGACAGACACTTAGAAAGGTTACCCAAAGCTTTCCTCTTTGTGGTGTCCCAGTTTTCTGTACCGCGGGCGTCCAGGAGGCACGAGGCAAGGACTCTGACTTGCACTGAGCAAGTCAGTGAACACTGGATCATGAGCCGGACACACACACAAATGTCTTGTTATATATACCTCACAGGGACACTTCAGTGCAAGGAGACCCTCAAATATGCCCGACAAATTTAGCTTGTGTAAATGAGTATCAAACTCAGTATCAGGTAATATTTATGATACATAAATATCTTAAATGATGCTATATTTAGTTAACAGAAACATAAGAACTTCCTTAAGCTCACTGTGGGTTTAATCTAATTTTCTCCTCAAGCAGTTATGTGCTACAATAGGAAATTTTTTTATGGGACATTTTAGGAATATATCCCTTGAGGAATTCTGTTTAGAAAAAATACATAGAAGCTTTATTTTTCTATACATAATTTGTCTCCACTCATGTGACTTCTTATATGATGAAACATTACAGAATTTTAATCTCCTACACTGTTGAGGGTACGAGAGGAAGTTATGGCTTCTTGGTAACACAGCAGAGTTATGTCAGTGGCCCCATTAAAAATTTTTTTTATTCTTTTTTTTGTTATAAATGAAAAGTTTTTCTTTACCTTTTTAAAAAAAAATTTATTAGTTAGAGAGAGAGAGCACAAGCTGGGGGAGGGGCAGAGGGAGGGACTCTCCAGCAGACTCCCCGCTGAGCACAGAGCCTGACGTGGGGCTTGATCCTACGACCCTGATATCATGACCTGAGCTGAACTCAAGAGTTGAACACTTAACTGGAGTGAGCCACCCAGGTGCCCCTTTTTAAAATTTTTCTAGTGTGGTCCTTGTCAGAGTGTCGATCTCAACCGGATCGTAACTTCTGATGATGCAAGTCTCTTGCCTTCCTAACCTAGGTGGCTTCTGACGGCTAGTTACCAAAAGACAACACCATTGTACAATAGGAACTCCACACAGAAGTTATGATGGAAAGCCATTTTATTTTCCCCTAAATTTTAAAATAAAAGACTTGAATGGAAAATGTTTAGTACCGTCAAGTCACCCTGAATGCCAGCGATACCTTGACTTTCATACACACAGGAAGCCAGGTCAAAGTCCAGTCAGTGTACACATTTCTCCATGGCTCTTCGAACAGTCCGGCATGAACAAAATTTTCTGCCATTTTGCTTTAGTAAATAGCAACATAATTGAAAACTTTCATGTCTCCTATGTGACCCCGAAAATCCAACTGCTATATTTATTAATACAGTTAGAAAAATAAAAGCCTTAAAAAATTCATGGTATGAGTTCACGGTGCTAATCACATCATCTCTTCAAAGGTAAGATCATTTTTAAAACTCCTACATAACAACCTTCTGGTTTAATTTGAAAGACTTAAGATGGGCGAAATCTAGTAAGACTGTTAGGTCAATGTACATATCAATTATTTCATTTTTACTTGTCCTGGGAGAGTTAATTCCCATTGTCCACTGAATGAATGCCTTTCAAATATTAATAAATATATTACAGTATTTACAAGCATTCTTATCTACTCTGACACTGGTAGAAAGGTAAGCTGTGGGGAAGGAATGCTCTCCCAGCAGGGCAAGCTCATGAAGTCTGGGACAAAAGGGGCAGGTACTGGAGGATGTGCCAAGGGCTCTGCTCAGGTGTGCACGCGAGCTCTCAGACACATCTCCTTCTGACCAGCTAGCCGATCTGGTGTTGTTGGATCACGTGTAAATGCTGAATAGCCGGAAACCAGGAAAAAAAGGAATACTGTGAAGGCATGTCATTTTAGTATTAAGAAGAGGAAGAGAGGCCTAAATTCAGACTAAGGTTACAAGGGTAAAACCATGCTCCATAAGCTGTTAGTGAATTACTCTCTGGGAATTACCTAATTTAGTTGAGGTGTTGGGTACATGTCATGGATATGGGAGAAACTGTAAGAAATTGTTTTGGCAATAAAAAGTGATGCTAATTCGATTTCTACACTTTTAACCGTGTCACGTGTCTTCCTCTCACACTGCGAACTGTCTCATGTAGACCTCCCACCCACTTGACAAACCTCGTTAATGCTGCTGAAGGATTCACATTCTAATGCTCTGGTAAGAGTGATCATAATGCCCTAATCAGCCTAGACAGCATCATAAACCTGAAGGAGTGAAGCCAAAGATTGAGATGGGCTAGGTATCTGCCTTGTAAATGTGAATGAAACTCTCATTTTAGGGGCTTAGTTTCTTATGTTTTAGTAATAGCAGTACTAGTCATTATTTAAAAAAGCCTACTATCGTGGGTCATGTCTATGTACCTACACAAATACCAGTGCCTCTCCCGGGAGTCATTTCGAGGCCCAAACCTTGGGCCCTCAAAGGGTGTGTGGCTTCCACCAAACCATCTGGGGTATAGAGTCCAAATAGCCCCTTGGAAAATTTTATAAATGAGATTCACCCCATATAATGTTTAAATCTCTTACAGGAGAGTCTTTAAAATAATTTAAACATGTGCAAAATGAAGAAGGGTTCTCTGGTGGCTCATGTTTACATGCAAATACAGACGAACTGTTAACATGCATTATTTTAGTCAATTGGTAAAGTTTATTTCATAAGTATAAGTAATTTTAAGCCATTTACTAAATTGTAAATTTCAATCCATTAAAAACTACTACCAGAGCAGTTTTGAGGTATTACTGTTAATCTAATATAAAAATGTTACTATGCTTGGATGTGGAATGAAATGTGACTGCCATGCCTTTTATTAAATGGTGTTGTTGCAGTGCTGACTACAGATGTGTCCTATAGCTTTTAGGAAACTCTTGTGCATGTGCATTAACCAATTTTCCAAACATCAATGGCAATTTGATTGGTTGGTCATTTCTAAGCATAACTAAAATAACAAAGGACAGCTCCTAGCATGGGACAAACAAGCTGAGAAATTTCAGGGGTACACTGCTACCCTCCAACCTACCTCCACCAAAAACCCACCCTACTCACTCCAGTCGTTTGCAAGGAAAACTTGTGCAAAAAGCATCCAAAAAGTCGATCAGCAGGTTAATTTTCTTGTAATTTTAAAAGAACTAGACAATGTTTTTTCCCCTTAAAATTCATTTATAAAAATAAATAAATTTCAGTTTGAGACCTTAGGTACCAAATTGTGGCTTAATTTAGTTGTGATGGCTAAGACTATAAAGTTATGGAAAGTGTAGTTGAAAACGGATGAGCTCCAGCTCATTCCCCGAAGTGTGGCAATGGCCGGCACCCTACGCTGTCACAACCCTTCTCACAGTTAACCAAAATACACTCGACTTCTTGACAAACTTTTAGCCTTCTTTTGTCCTGAAACTCCCACAAACTTTAATTCTCAGACCTCTGTTACAAAACCACAGGTAACCATAATACATTCAAGATAGGGAATGAAAACCTGTCACCCACTCAGGAGACACTGATCCGTGGCACCAGGGCAAACACAGCGGCTCAGAGGAAATGGTCCCCCACTGGGGTGTACAGCTTACCCAGATGTTCTGTACTAGAATGCAGGCATGAAGTCCCTCTGCAGAGCAACAATAATTTAAAATCAGTTTGATAGGAGCAAATCCTTCCAGGTTTTGTGCGGTGAGCAGATACACAGCCTGGCCCGGCGACCCCGGGACCTGGTATGTGGCAGGGCCCGGCCACTGTGTCCATTAGGTAGGGACACTGTCGGGTGGAGATGCCAATATGACTTACTGCTTAGAACTGTGTGAACATCGACACCGTTGTGAGGCCGATTTCTCTCGGGAGAAGCTTTTTGCCTTAGTCAGGAAATGATCTGAGGAACAGTAAGGAACTGAACTAAGGAAAAAGTCTCTGGCCTCCAACTCCACACACACACACACAAGCAAGTTTCAAACTATTGTTCTCTCTTGGTGCAGACGAGCAACTGGCTGACCTGTCACGTACCATCAATCGAGATGAACACAGCATTGAGTCTGTGGAACAACGTGATGCGGAAAAACCTGATCTAATGCAAATTCAAGCCTATTAACTAAGACCACGGCAAGGAGAGACAGCCCAGCTCAGTGTTCTCCCGCGCTAGTGCCGACTCGGAACACAAAGCAACTGAAAGGCACGGGCTCAGATTTCATTGATAGTCCTCTCTGAAGGGCAGTATTCCGAGGCGCCTGGGGAGGACATGTAGAAGGACTGTGTTTTCCTTTTTAAGCGGGCTCTTTTGTTGGCCAACACCAGGCTGCGCCGGCTCGAACTGATGATTTCCGAAATAAACTTTTTGCAGTCTACACACACCTCCATAGTACTCCAGTCCTCCATCAGCTCTTTGGGAAACTGTAGTTCTTCATCGGATTTGTCCACAGACTTAGATTTGGACGGGAACCTGGAACAAAACAAAACGTTTAGAATACTGTTACTTACAGTTCTACTGCAATACTAAGAAAATACATGCAGAAAAAGTAAATCTGTTGCCAAAACATTATGGAATGGGCGAGTCATCTCATGTTCTCCCAAAGGAAGAATTTCTAATTGGAAATAAAATTCAAAATATATTTTTTTAATTTTATTTATTTATTTGCGAGAGAGAATGAGATAGAGAGAACATGAGAGGGGGGGAGGGTCAGAGGGAGAAACAGACTCCCTGCTGAGCAGGGAGCCCGATGTGGGACTCGATCCCAGGACTCCAGGATCATGACCTGAGCTGAAGGCAGTCACTTAACCAACTGAGCCACCCAGACGCCCCAAAATATTTTTTTTTTAAAAAGGAAACATGTTTTAGTAAGAAATAGTAATATGGAAGAAAAAATGAAGTAATAATCCTGAAAACTCTTAGTGTCCCTTCCAGAATTTTTGGGGAAAAAAGCATATTTATTCACCTGAATACCATACATGATCTACAGTAGACTTTAACAACAAAAACAAATCAAAGTACATGTTGCTAATGTCCTATTGATAATTCAGAAGGGACTTCAAGTTCTTTCTCCAAGGATCCCGCGTCAGAGTTGGTGAACATGAGATAACTGTAGAGAGGAGGGCAGACTATAGTAAACTGAAGTCAATTGGTCTTAATCCTGGAAAGTTATCTTCAGACCAGCCTCCTCAGCATTTTTGCATTTATCAAATATACCTTCCCCTCTCCCGACAATTCTATTTGGGTGACTAATTATTTGGATTCCAGAGAGCTGGAGTTAACGAGATCAACACTGTAATAAATGTTTTGGGTAATTTTTTGAAATAACTAGGAATCATCTATTCATGGACTACTTTAGTGAAACCAAACAGGAATATAAATTTAGAGTAGGTACAGAAAGGAACAACAACATGCCCCACAGCCTTGAGCTCACAGGTGACAATCCACAGTCAGAGGTTATCATGGCGCAGTGCCGGGCACAAGTCACCAGCGGGGTTCACGGCTTCCTTGGCTCACCGCCCACAGCCACGGTGCGCAGGAGTAGCACTGCAAGCCCCCAGCACCAGTGCTGGGCTCCCTCCCCAACCGGGGGAGGCTGGTGTGTAAAACTCCGACCTTTTCAGCCCTGTGAGTGTGTGAGCCAAGCTGGCGTGACCTCCTGTCCTTCCTTAAGGACCGACGGTAACCTTACTCTGCGTTAAATGCAGAAGGACTGATATTCAGGCAACTGTTTTTTTTTGTTTTTGTTTTTTTTTTAAAGATTTTATTTACTTATTTGAGACAAAGAGAGAGAGACAGAGAAACAGCATGAGAGGGGAGAGGGTCAGAGGAAGAAGTAGGCTCCCCGCTGAGTCGGGAGCCCGATGTGGGACTCAATCCCAGGACTCTGGGATCATGACCTGAGCCGAAGGCAGTTGCTTAACCAACTGAGCCACCCAGGCGCCCCAGGCAACTGTTTTTTTAACTGCCATAAAGCTTTTGGCATAAAGCTTTATTTCTGCCATATTTACAATAGGAAGATAAGCCAAAGTGATGGCAGACCATTGGAAACCTAGAACTAAACAGATATGCTTTCAAAACTAAAGAAGAAAGATTAGACTGTTACGTGCAAGTTTGCAACTCCACTGAAAACAAGGTCAGCTTTGAAAACGACACAAATGTAGTGAAAAGAAGGGCCAGATGCACCTGAATGTTCACAGCAGCAATGTCTGCAATAGCCAAACTGTGGAAAGAGCCGAGATGCCCTTCAACAGATGAATGGATAAAGAAGATGTGGTCCATATGTACAATGGAATAGTACTCAGCCATCAGAAAGGATGAATACCCAACTTTTACATCAACATGGATGGGACTGGAGGAGATTATGCTAAGTGAAATAAGTCAAGCAGAGAAAGTCAATTATCATATGGTTTCACTTATTTGTGGAACATAAGGAATAGCATGGAGGACATTAGGAGAAGGAAGGGAAAAATGAAGGGGGGCGGAATCGGAGGGAGAGATGAACCATGAGAGACTATGGACTCTGAGAAACAAACAGGGTTTTAGAGGGGAGTGGGGAGGAGGGATTGGTTAGCCTGGTGATGGGTATTAAGAAGGGACGTACTGCATGGAGCACCGGGTGTTTATACGAAAACAATGGATCGTGGATCACCACATCAAAAACTAATGATTTTTTAAAAAAATTAAATAAATGGGGAAATAGTGTTTAGGCATTGGAAGATTAGATATTGTTAAGATGTCAGTTCTTCCCCAGACTGATACTTATATTCAATACGTTGCTAATCAAAATCCCAGAAGAAATTTTTGTAGAAGAGACAAGCTGATTCTAAAACATAAGGAATAGCACGGAGGACATTAGGAGAAGGAAGGGAAAAATGGAGGTGGGGGGGAAATCGGAGGGGTAGACGAACCATGAGAGACGATGGACTCTGAAAAACAAACAGGGTTCTAGAGGGGAGGAGGTGGGAGGATGGGTTAGCCTGGTGGTGGGTATTGAGGAGGGCACATTCTGCATGGAGCACTGGGTGTTCTACGCAAACAATGAATCATGGAACACTACCTCAAAAACTAATGATGTACTGTATGGTGACTAACATAATAAAATTAAATTAAATTAAAAAAAAGACTTTTAAAGGACACACAAAATTATTTCTAAAGTAGAAAAAAAATGATGACATTCAAGTATGCTTCAAGCAGCTAGCCATGGTCCCTTGTCAAGTTACCTTTAGGAAGTTTTGGAGACTTGTGTGCAAGTCAAAACTCTATTAAAACCAACCACCCAGCCACCCAAACCACGCTGAGCCCAAACCCTACCCCATCAGCAGTCCTCAAACGGAATATTCTTCTTTTACAGAGGATGCTCTGAGGTCCCAGGCCCCTTGCTCACCTGGCAATGCTCCGGAGTGGCCGATGGTGGCCAGTGGCAGGCTTTTCTGGCCTCATGCAACTTTCCCCTCTTTGCAAGGCAGAAGGTCCCAATGAAAAGATGGGAAGAGTGGAGTATGGTTTGGAGGGCAGCCGCATCTATTATCCCAAATAAAACCGAGAATGAGCAGTACTGTTAAAGAGTAGACTACTGAAAATTAACACAGATTATAATTTCACCAAGCTTAGCTTACCTTTTTGCAACACTGTGAACACACCGGCCTGTATACAAAATCAGAAAGGTTACTCAGCATGATACCATAGGTGGACTGCAAAGTCAGAGAAGCCAATGGCTGTGTGGTTATGAATTTCTATAATACACTGCAAAAACTCTCTGGTTTTTCTACCAGAATGTGACAAATTGATATGACTGTGGATCACCAAGAAGACAATCTGTAAACCTTAATTCTTACACTGTTTCCTGTAAAAGGATCAACTTAGATTATCTGTCTGGGCTTCTCTTACTTGTCTAACCAGGGATCACATGACAATCACATCTACTTTTTTTCTGTTCCAACTGGACATATGATTATTAGAGTGATCTTAGTTATGTAAAAGAAATACATGCAGAGAAGCATTTTCCAGGTTTTATTCCAAGTAACTGTTTGCTCTATTCTTTTGAAGAAATCAGTATTATTAACTCCCAAGCACTGCACAATTTGATAATGGGTGGGTAATCTCTAATATTGTTCCTGTGTAGGAAAATGATTCAAGTACGAATGCGATCGGTGTTTCTTTGACTATGGTCATCAAATACAAAAAACCTTACCTCTTACAGAACTGACAGGTATAAGACCAGGTGAAGAAGGAAAATCTCCTGGTTCGGCAACAAAAGCAGAGCTAAAAAAAAAAAAAAAAAAAAAAAAATTTAAAGGGAGAAAAAAAGCACTGCCAGCAGTTAATTTCCTAATTTACACGTCTAAATACACTTTACATTTATATAATGGGGAAGGTTAGCAGACAGAAGGAAAAAGGGATTTCAGAAATCCTGTTTTCAAGTTTGGCTCTGTGATAATTATAATTTGACTCTTTATTTACTTATAATTCCACTTTTAAAAGGTAGTAATATTCCATAGCTCTCAGAGGCTCACCATCATGGAATCAATCTGAAGAAGGTTCTAAGACAGTTTCTTTCTCAGATATAGTTTCTTTATAAGTCTTTAAAATGCAGACATGGTTTTGTGAAGGTATGCCATTATTTACTATGGTTGTTTTAAGTCTTCCAGTTTTTGATTTCTCAGGGAGAAACAAAAATACTTTTTTTTTTTTGTAAACAAGGCAGAACAGAACTGTGTATTAGAGAATAAGCCTCTTACCTCCTAAAATCCCCTACAAGTCCTATACCATCTGGCTGCCAGCAGACTACTCCCTCGGGAGACCAGATCATTCTTCTAACCCTGCTTATCAACCAACTTGAAATAGCTCTACCTTTCCTTTTTTCAGGGCGGTGTAGACATCTTTATACTGTTGGTATTTTTCCAGCTCTGCCTTCACCAGGACCTGACGAATATGCATCACTTCCTCCACAGTGAGAGCGAGGCATTCCACTGGATAGCAGAATTCCTCCTGAAATTCAAAATTCCACATGAATAAGAAACTCCCACCCCACTTTTCTGGCACTGCACAATTTCCCTTCAGATCAGACACCTGGTTAGTAGCTTCAGAGAAGAAAAGAGGTTTCCCAATGAACACAGGAACAGAGCTGGCTCACTCTGGGGACCACAAAATTTCTAATCACACCAAGACAACGGATGGCAGAAAACTTCTGGGGACCATGTCAAACATCATAGCCTATTGAAATTTCCAGGAAAGGAAAGTTCCTCACATCTGGGTGCATATTTTGCCTCAAGTTTCTATTCCATTAAGCAGAGCTATGTATCTATGCACTGAAATCTTGAAGAAAATTTTCTTGTTCTAAACCAAATTGACGTGAGTTTGCTCTTACGATTATGCCAAGACCTCACTTCCTGTTGTGTTTTATACTATATGCTAATAGATAAACTGCAAATCAACATTGGTACAATTTAGAAAACTGGTCTGTGGTACCCAGAATAGCCAAGAGAATGTGGTTAGTAATTTATACTGAGAAGCTTTATTTAGTGGTAAGTTACATCAGCACATGGTGGAAAACGCTAATGGCGCAAGTGGAACTGGAACACGGAACCACCGGGACAACCTCCACAGGCTGCCCCCAGTTGTCTGGGCTTCTGTTATTACTTTTCAATAACTGCAGAATACACAGTCAGCACTGGAAAGACGTGGAGAAAATCTTAAGAATTTCACCATAAATATTTATGTTGGCTGTCTTATGCTAATGGTGTCCCTAAAAACAGCCGAGGAAGATGTTGATGTAACTGATCCCACTGAATAAAAGAGCCTCACCCCCATCTGCTCCCCATCCGGCTCTGCACTTGATTGGTGGATCTAAGAGAAAGACAGAATGGTCTTATGCATTCTCATCCTGCCAGGCTTCACAGGGGCCATTGTGGTGTAGGGACACTGAAACTTAATGTTCTCAGTGCAAACACATTATAATTCACTCCCACACACACACAATAGCATTGCTCACAGGCATTCTGGAATCAAACAAGCCAAATGGGAACGCACATGACTATGAAAGCAGTCAGTTTATGGAGTTTTAACATTCAGTTCTGTCTTTCAATCAGAAAAACAAAAACAAATCTAGGTTGCAAACTTGATAAACATTAGCATTTACTAAGAAAAGTAGTTTGAATAACTGCTTCTTACTAACAATCAGTACAGAATCATTGCTGTTCAGGCAGACTGAAAGAAGGTTAAATTTGCTTAAAAATGTTTTGGTAAAAATCCTGCAATTGAATTTTTAAGAGGAAGAGCTTAGTATCTGGAGGGTGGGAAGGTAGTCTGTTCAGGAAGATTATGTATCATTTGCTCTAAGATGTCTAAAATACTTTTTTAAAAAATCACAATCACATAATTTTCTCTTTCAATGGGAAAAGCTTTCAAAGATAACAGGATTAAATTGGCTTGTCCAGTATCTACTCTGTTTTGCTCCACCCTGAGAAAATAGCCTAGTGTCAAATGGGAACAATGCACTGCCTGTGTGAAGGTTAGGTCACTAAAATTGTGCATGAGGTAAGCTTTGTTGGCTCCACACGTCTGAATGATGGCTTTTCTCAGCTTTTAACATATTTCATAAGCAGCTTTCCTATGGTCTTTTTTATTCATTAGTGATGAGTGTGACTGCGGTGCATTTTCTGACAGCTAACTATGTGACAAAACTGCTGAGCGGGAACAATCTAATGTATGAATCTAGCAACTAACCAGATACTCACCACCTGAGATTTGGTGCTGTGCAGGTGGGAAGAAGGCAAATGGTGCCAGTTTAATGAACTTTACAACTAGGGCTGGTAAACATTTCCGGTAGATGGGAATCCTTTTTATTTGCAGGGATATCCTAGCACACACAATAGACTTGACAGGCTCTACACTTCCCTCTTCTCATTCTTAAGTCACAATGGACTTAGTCAAGCATACTTTCAACTTACTGCTTTGAACCATATGCAAATCCAGTATTTTGTAGGACATAGTAAGAAACTGTATTTGTGTGTGTTCTTGTTCTTTTTTAAACTTTCAAGCAGATTACTGTTGAATAAAATAATTTCCATCAGGTCAAATGCTAATGTTTTAATTCTGGTGCTTTCCCAAGGACAACAAAACTTTAATGCAACATGAAAGAAAATAATAAATACTTACTAGAATTAGTTTTTATTTTTTTTAATTGAGAAAAAAATTCTAATTCAACATCCCCCAAGCCAAATTAAGCCTTCGCCTCAACAGATCTTGCTGAGATACTAATGCTCCAAAATGTGAGGAGCACTCAGGACTTTAACAGTGAGAGCTTTACACTGGGCTTGGTCACTCCTCCCCACGCCCTGAACTCGGTCATAGCCAGACATGGACTCTAAAATCCCCTTGCTTCCCTGTGCTTCCATCTCACTCCTAAACTTAGGAAAGGGAAGCTAAATCTGAAAGAGTTTTAATAAAGATTCCAATATGCTAAAGGAGCAGATGAGCCTTTAGAACTTACTCTGTATTATGTCACTAAAATCCCTGAGTTTTTGTTCAATATTCTGGTTACATTTACCATTCAGAAGGGTCAGAGTAAGGGAGCACAGAAATTATAGAGCATAATGTAGACTCTGGTTTCTGAACCACAGAGAGAATGGGAATATGCATATTCTATATAGTATTTTTAATGAGCAAAAACTTTGTAAGTAGCAGATATTTGAAAATTATCCCAAACCACCATTTTTTTCTTGAGTTTTTAATAAACCCAAGGCAAATTTAAATTAAAATAGCACCTGTTAAGTTTAATTACTCTTCTCTTTTTTCGAGTTCAACTTTAAAACTCAAAGTGAACTCTTTGCCTACAGTAATAGTATAGCCTTAGTATACAGAGATCTCTGTTTGGGGAGGATTGATAATAAAAATGAAAATGCCAGCAGATCTTCGGTAATAGCAGTAACAGTGACAGGAGTTAAAATGCCATCCCTGCACCTGACCACGTACTACCCAAAGGGCCAGATCTAAAATGGCAAAAAGAATAGAGATCTATCCTCTGTTTCATGACATAAGAAGAGAAAGGAATTTGATGGATTTCATTTACATTCAGAGTCTCTTCTCCAAACCAAGATGGGTAATAAAGAATAACAAAGAAGCCAGCTGCTGGTTCATTTGCCGAGGGTAGGTTTAGTAAATGAAGGGCCTAGGAGAGCCAGGAGCCTGTATGAGGCGGGACAGCAGAGCAGTGGCAAACGCTAGTCGCTAGTCTCGTCGGCAGCACGCGCTACTCTGGGGGCCGGGGAAGCTTTTGGCATAGTTCGAGACCTTCTGATTTCACTGGGATTTGGCAGGTATTATCCTTTCTTTAAAAAATATATTCTGTATGAAAATCTAAAAAATAATGAAAGGCATAAAATTTAAAATATTTAAAATAACCACATCAATAAAAGGAAAACTTAAAATCTCTACAGAGAAGTGGGCTGTCATAAAAACCACGTTAACACTGACCCATACAACACAGCTTTATGAAAGATGCTGGGGAACAGAGAGATTCTGAGCCTAGGGTTGCACAGCCCCTTGGAGCTCACGGTGGGGTGTGCGGGGAAATGGGGAATGATATGGTTCCATGGGTGGGGGGGTCCCCGTGGCTATGTGGCCTGGCAGCAGGCTGCTCTGTCAGCTGGGGGAGGGCGCAAATGCTGTTGCGATGGCAGGAAGGCCGGGGAGGAGAGCGCCCCTCAGGCTCTCGGGGAGTGCCCCCTGCACATGGAGAGGAGACGGCATTCCTCCCGCTGTATAACTGGGTCACTCACAGGTCCCTCTAATCTGATGCTGCATTTTGAGTTTGTTGTCCTTTCAAGGTCATTTTCCTTTCAGCTGAGCTCATGGTGTCCTCTATGCATCCTACAAAAGACTGGAATCAACGACCAGAAGCAAAGTGCCCATCTAAGCTGTTAATTGTCCAGACTGCAGTAGTGGCGGTATCACTGTCAAAGAGACAGAGAGTGAAATAATTCCCAGAACCAGCAGAAAGAGGCCAACCTTTGAGGACGTCCACCTGCTGGCAAAAGCTCTCTCACACAGATAATACATAGCCCCTGCTACCCCACACATGGCTGCTTCAAAAGGATGAGAGCTGAGCAGAGAGGCTGTTTGTATGGTAGAAAAAGGTGGTCGGAAAGGCGTCCTGGGCCAAACACTGGTTATCCTAGGAACCTGAACAACAGATAAGGGAAAAAGAAAATGGCAGGGGGAGAAGAAAAGGAGAAAATAATGCTGAACATGAGTGACCTATAAATAGGGGTTACAGAGCACGAAAGAAAACCAAAACACCACCACCACTGAGGACGTTAACGGTAGATTCCACATGTGTGTGTCCACACCACGTCTGCTCCCATAGGCGTAAATCAGTAATCACACCAGGAAATCATTCCCAGAGACTCTCGAGTTCACGCAGCAGATGCTCCTAACTTGGCTGTCCTGGGAACGGCCGCCCCGGCCTGTGAAAGCAGGGTGTGGCGGCGTGCACCAAGCAGCACTTGCCCCCCCGCCCCCCCGGCCCCTGGGGAAGGTGCTGGAAGACAAGTCGCCTTTCACTTAGATGGGCAATCATCCTCAATCATTTGACCAAATAATGAAAAAAATTACGTTTTAAACATCCTAAGGAAACGGAGGGAGATACAGTAAAAATAAAAACGATTACCTAAGAAGACCTTTCTGCCATTTTCAGTGGAGGGGTTCTAAATACACAATGATTCCTTGTTTTCTTAAACACAGTTAAAGTTTTAAATTGTCATACTTTTAAAAATGATACTTACCAAGCTAGAGGGCACTATGCAAGATGAGTGTGACCTTATGGATTTCCCAAACCAAGCTATTAGCAAGAAGGGTCACTACTCTGACCTGGATGTTACTTTGTGTCAGCTGGCGCGCTGGGCCCTTCGAGGGAGCTGTGGTTCCGTGTGGAACCTGGACGCCATCCAGTGCTGAACAGAAGTGCTTTCCCACTGCCTTTCACTGAGACTCTTCTCTGTGACTGCAGATTGGTTTTTTTTTTAACTTTAATTTTTTATTGTTATGTTAATCACCATACATTACATCATTAGTTTTAGATGTAGTGTTCCATGATTCATTGTTTGTGCATAACACCCAGTGCTCCATGCAGAACGTGCCCTCTTTAATACCCATCACCAGGCTAACGCATCCCCCCACCCCCCTCCCCTCCAGAACCCTCAGTTTGTTTTCCAGAGTCCATTGTTTCTCATGGTTCGTCTCCCCTTCTGATTCCCCCCCCTTCATTCTTCCCCTCCTGCTATCTTCTTCTTTTTTTTTTTTCTTAACATATATGGCATTATTCGTTTCAGAGGTACAGATCTGAGATTCAAGTCTTGCACAATTCACAGCGCTTACCAGAGCACATACCCTCCCAGTGTCTATCACCCAGTCACCCCATTCCTCCCACCCCACCCCCCACTCCAGCAACCCTCAGTTTGTTTCCTGAGATTAAGAATTCCTCATATCAGTGAGGTCATATGATACATGTCTTTCTCTGTTTGACTTATTTCGCTCAGCATGATACCCTCCAGTTCCATCCACGTCATTGCAAATGGCAAGATCTCATTCCTTTTGATGGCCTGCAGATTGGTTTTATCTCGCTCTTCTTCTCCACAAAAAATAACTCACAGCCTGACCTAGCACACATGGAGTTCCCCTTTGTCAGGAATACATTTCTGGGCCCTCGATGTTGGCTGATGGTCTTTCTTCTATTACTTCTGTGGTATTTTTTTCTCTTCTATTCAAAACTTCTCTCAGGAGCTAAAATTTCTTTTAATTGATCTGAGAGTTCCTCTACACTGATAATTTTAAAATTTAACATTAACAATGGTGTCCTGTGATCACAAGGCCCGATGCACAGCTGAATGATAAATTGGCTTCGAAGAGAAAAGTTGTGTGAAGAGAAGAATCTCCTGATTATCGGACTTGTGATCTCTTACAGTCTTTTAAGCTGTGACAATAACTATATTTTGCTAAAGCAAAAAGTTGTTCACATTAACAAAAGTCTTTGGATTCTGAAGTTTGAACCTGTCTCGTTAGAGTTCTGTTTTTCTACTGGTAAACCACTGGTGAGGCTATATTTAATCAATGTTTCAGTGATTATCTAGGAGTTAGAGGAATTCTATCAGGAATTGACATACAAACAATCACTAGTTCTTTAATTGAACTGTTTGGGAACAGATGACTGATTAAATTTCAACACTATAAAGCTCTGTTCAAACTTGGTATCTTCACAATAACTACACTATCTTCCTCTGCTTTGAGGGAGGGACATCTCTTATTGCTTCATTTGAACCCTTGATGATTCAAGACAGCCTAAAAATATGGCTGAAAATATGGAGTAAGCATATTCCAGTGCTTTTTATTCATGAACACCTGAGAAAACATTAGATATTAGGTTGCTGGTAGAATTACTGATTGAAGTCTTCGTCTTGCCTGAAAATATTTATGAAGTCTAGTGGGACTACAGAAGAATCTTTGCAGACCTCCTTTGGTTAGAGGGTCTGTTATTCTTCCTGGCAGGGACCTACTGTCCTGGGAATCAAAGCCACTAGACGAACCTGAAGTCTTGGGGAAACAGCAAAACTGTCATCCAGTGCAAACAGCAGCTTTGGCTCCAAGATCATAAAACATACTTGAAAACAATGTACAATGGTTTCTAATGGATCAAAATTCTCCCCTAATACCTCTGCCTCAATAAAATAGTGTACCGTAGTCAGACTCTGCTAACTTTTTGATGAGTTTCAACAATTTTTAAGCAGACTAATTCCCTTTAAAAAGAAGAAAGCATTTCTTTAATAATAATACATATTTTCAACCACTGATAAGTCTTCTGAAAAAAAAAAAGTACTTTAAAATGAACAAAGAATGGTCAAATCAAATTTCATTTAGGTTACTGTTAGAGTGGGTTTTCTTTAGATATTAAAAGGAAATAAAGCTGTTTGAAGTTCATTTTAACGTTTGGAAGTTTTTTTTCTCCTAATCATCATCTCAAGAAACCTAATGATAACAGGCCTCTAACTGATCCTTAAGTTACTACGAAGTCTTCCAGTTACTTACAAGAGATCGGGAGCTCTGCTTGGATGGTGGCAGAAACTGTCTTACATTAGTGGGTGTTTCCTTTTCAATGGAATGTCGTCTCTGGGGTGGCTGCCGTCTCTCTGGCTGGGGTGTTGATGATATGGGCAAGAATTTTGGAGGCTCTAAAGAAATGAAAAGAACCAAACTGAAATGAACTTTCTTTACAAAATAAAAATCTTAGATTTTGAATTTCTAACAGAAAACCCTTTGTCACTTGTGACAAACAATGCATTCAAAGATGAAATGTTTATTTCATTAGAGGATTAAGATTGGAGGTCCTTTTGGGGATACTATGAGGATTGTTATAGAAAAATCTCTGCAAGATAAACTTTTCTACAGAAATAGTGAGGAAAAAAGAAAAAATATTTCGTATTTTTAATGTTCATTCAAATTTATACATAAAAACAATTATAGTCTCAGCTTTGTACATACAAATGCCCTCATGTTACATGCCATAGAATTTTGCAATTAAAGAGTCTCAGGGATGTAAAATATGTAAAAATATGTGTTCTGTGTGTCCAAAAAGACTCCCATGTCATGCCAAAATTTTCTTTTCCTTTTTTTAAATTTTATTTTATTATGTTATGTTAGTCACCATACATTACATCATTAGTTTTTGATGTAGCGTTCCATGATTCATTGTTTGCGTATAACACCCAGTGCTCCATGCAATATGTGCCCTCCTTAATACCCATCACCCGGCTAACCCAACACCTCACCCCCCTCCCCTCTAGAACCCTCAGTTTGTTTCTCAGAGTCCACAGTCTCTCATGGTTCGTCTCCCCCTCCGATTTCCCCCCCTTCATTTTTTCCTTCCTACTATCTTTTTTTTTTTTTTTTAACATATAATGTATTATTTGTTTCAGAGGTACAGGTCTGTGATTCATCAGTCTTACACAATTCACAGTGCTCACCATAACACATACCCTCCCCAATGTCTATCACCCAGCCACCCCATCCCTCCCACCCCCCTCCACTCCAGCAACCCTCAGTTTGTTTCCTGAGATTAAGAGTCTCTTATGGTTTGTCTCCTTCTCCGGTTTCATCTTGTTTCATTTTTCCCTCCCTTCCCCTATGGCCCTCGGTCTTGTTTCTCAACTTCTTCATATCAGTGAGACCATATGATACTTGTCTTTCTCTGATTGACTTATTTCGCTTAGCATAATACCCTCTAGTTCCATCCATGTCGTTGCAAATGGCAACATTTCATTTTTTTTTTGATGCATGCCAAAATTTTCAAATGTATAGACCCTTTATATTCTTTTTAAAAGACGAAATATAAAAACTCTTCATTTTTGATGTTTATCAAGACATTTTGTCCTTAGGTTTAAATCAAGCTTTATTTATATTTCGAAAAGTAAATTCCAGTTATGATGTTAACACTGTAACACTGCTATCTTCTGCCTAGTAATATTTTGGGACAGGGTTTAAACGGAGAATGTTTTAGGGTTTGAATGGTTCTGGATTCACATTGTGCAAACGTAAGGAGAACATTAGAAATTATGCTAACCGAGTTTTTTTTAGTACTTCCTCTTACTCTCTCTGCAAAGTAAGCTTGCTGCAGTGTTATGGGTTAGGAAAGTGAAAGTCAACACAAAATTAAAGTGATCCATCTATTTGGACTGTCCCACCAAGAAAAATTGCTAAATAAAAACAACATAATTTCCACAATCAAGAAAGATACAGAAATCCATTATGTGATTTAATTGTATCTCTATAATATTTAATTGGCCTGGCCAAATACCAATTATAGGTAAAAACCAAGATCAGCTCCTATTGTTCTTGATATAATGTGATTAAGTATATCAAAATACTAAAGAATTTTAATCACTAAAAACTCCATGTGTATAAGAAATCAAATCAATGTTCTAAAAATATCTTAATATATAAGTGTTTTTTCTTCTGGAAAGTTTTTTTTTCCATTGCAGTAAAACAGACATAAAATATATTTAGTGTATTTGTTTTTTAAGATTTTATTTATTTATTTGACAGAGAGAGATTGAGAGAGAGCACAAGCAGGGGGAGAAGCAGGCTCCCCACTGAGCAGGGAGCCTGACATGGGGCTCGATCCCAGGACCCCGGGATCATGACCTAAGCCGAAGGCAGATGTTTAACAACTGAGCCACCCAGGCACCCCCCCCTTTTTTTTTTTTTTAAGACTTTATTTATTTGAAAGAGAGAGAAAGAGAGAGAGAGAGAGCACATGAGAAGGGGGATTGTCAGAGGGAGAAGCAGGCTCCTCACTGAGCAGGGAGCCCGACATGGGGCTTGATCCCAGGACCCCAGGATCATGACCTGAGCCGAAGGCAGACGCTTAACAACTGAGCCACCCAGGCACCCCCCCCTTTTTTTTAAGATTTTATTTATTTATTTGACAGGGAGAGATTGAGAGAGAGCACAAGCAGGGGGAGAAGCAGGCTCCCCGCTGAGCAGAGAGCCTGACATGGGCTCGATCCCAGGACCCCGGGATCATGACCTGAGCCAAAGGCAGACGCTTTAACCGACTGAGCCACCCAGGCACACCTGTCTTTATTTTTTTAAGATTTATTTATTTATTTGAGTGAGCAAGCACATGAGCGGGGGGAGGCGCAGAGGGAGAGAATCTTCAAGCAGATTCCCCACTGAGTGCGGAGCCCCACACGGGGCTCAACCCTACAACCGCATGAGATCTTGACCTGAGCCGAAACCAAGAGCCTGACACTTAACCAACTGAGCCATGCAGGTGCCCCTAGTGTCTTTATTTTTAAACTGTACAGTTCAGTGGTATTAAATATTTACATCATTGTGCAACCATTACCATCTTCCATCCCCAGAACTCTTCATCTTGTAAAACTGAAATTCTGTAACCATTACAATAATTTCCCATTCTCCCCTACCTACAGCCCCGGGCAACTACCATTCTATTTTCCTTCTTTATGATTTTGACTACTCAAGAATCCCATATAAATGGAATCATATAGTATTTGCCTTTTTTGTAATTGCTTTTTTCCCTTAGCAAAAGGTCCTAAAGTTTCGTCAGTGTTGTAGCCAACTGCAGAATTTCCCATTTTTAAGGCTGAGTAATATTCATTGTATGGAGAGCCCACATTTTGCTTAGCTGTTCATGCATTGATGGACACTTGGGTTGCTTCCATTTTAGCTATTGTGAATACTGCTGCTATGAACATGGATGTATATCTCTTTGAAACTCTGATTTCAATTCTTTTTTTCTCTCCTTTCAATTCTTTTGCTTATAGAATCAGAAGTAGAATTGGTTAAGCATCTGCCTTTGGTGCAGGTCATGATCCCAGAGTCCTGGGATGAAGCCCCATGTCTGGCTCCCTGCTCAGTGGGGAGACTGCTTCTCCCTCTCCCTCTGCTCCTCCCCACCACTCATGCTCTCAAATAAATAAATAAAATCTTAAAAAAAGAGAATGGATTGTCTTCTATTTTTGCAAAAATGTCATTGGCATTTTGATAGGGATTGCACTGAATCTGTAGATCACTTTGGGCAGTGTATAAACATTTTAACAATATTAAGTCTTCCAATCCATGAACACAGGATGTATTTCCCTTTATTTAAGTCTTCTTTAATTTCTTTCATCAATGTTTTGTAGTTTTTAGTGAGCAAGTTTTTCACTTTCTTGGTTAAGTTAATTCCTAAGTATTTTATTCTTTTTGATACTATTATAAATGGAATTGCTTTTGTAATTTCCTTTTCAGATGATTTATTGTTTGTGTATAGAAATGTAACTGATTTTTGTGTGATTTTATATTTTGCTACTTTACCGAATTCATTTATTCTAACAGGTTTTTTTTGTGTGTGGAATCTTTTAGGGTTTCCGTACATATAAGATCGTATCATCTGTAAAGATGATAATTTTACCTTTTTTTTTCCTACTCTGGCTGCCCTTTCTTTCTTTTTCTTGCCAAATTGCTCTCACTAGCATTTTCAGTACTATGTTGAACAGAAGTGATGAAAGCAGGCATCCTTGCCTTGTTCCTGTTTCTTAGAGGAAATCCTTTCAGTCTTTCACCACTGAGTATGATGTTTGAGGTGGGTTTTTCTTTTTTTTTTTTTATCTTTAAAGATTTTATTTATTTGATAGAGAGATATACAGCGAGAGAGGGAACACAAGCAGGGGGAGTGGGAAAGGGAGAAGCAGGCTTCCCGCGGAGTGGGGAGCCTGATGCGGGACTCGATCCCAGGACTCCAGGATCATGACCTAAGCCGAAGGCAGATGCTTAACGACTGAGCCACCCAGGCGCCTCTGAGGTGGGTTTTTCATATATGGCTTTTATTATGTTGAGGTAGTTTCTTTTTTTTTTAAAGATTTTATTTATTTATTTGACAGAGAGAGAGGCAGCGAGAGAGGGAACACAAGCAAGGGGAGTGTGAGAGGGAGAAGCAGGCTTCCTGCGGAGCAGGGAGCCCGACGCAGGGCTCGATCCCAGGACCCCGGGATCATGACCTGAGCCGAAGGCAGACGCTTAAGGACTGAGCCACCCAGGCGCCCCGAGGTAGTTTCCTTCTATTGTGAAGTTCCTCCTAGTTTGAAGTTTTTATCATGAAAGGGTGTTCAATTTTGTCAAATGCTTTTTCAGCATCAATTGAAATAATCCTGTGGTGGTTTTTCTTCACTCTGTTAATGTGGCATATTACACTAATCAATTTTTATATGTTGGACCATCCTTGCAGTCAGGAATAAATCCCACTTGGTCAGGGTATATAATCCTTTTAATATACTGCTGAATTCTGTTTGCTAGTATTTTGTTAAAAATCTTTTAAAAAATCAGTATTTGTAAAGGGTATTGGTTTGTAGATTTCTGTCCTTGTAGTGTCTTTGTTTGGCTTTAGTATCAGGGTAATGCTGGTCTCATAAAATGGGTTAGGAAGTATTCCCTCCTCTTCAATTTTTTGGAAATGTTTGAGAAGGATTGATAGTTTTTTTTAAATGTTTGGAAGAATTCACCAGTGAGGCATCAGAATCAGGCCTTTTCTTTATAGGGAGAGTTTATGCTTACTAATTCAATATCTTTACTAGTTATTGGTCTAGTCAGATTTTTTTCTTTCTTTCTGATTTAGTCTTGCTAGGCTTGGCATTTCTAGGAATTTGTCCATTTTACCAAGGCTATCCAATTTGATGGTAATTGTTCATGATATTCTCTCATAACTCTTTATTTCTGTAGAATCAGCAGTAATGATCACCCCTTCATTTATGATTTTAGTAATTCGAGTCTTTTTTCTTAGTCTATCTAGCTAAGGGTTTGTCAATTGTGTTGATATTTTTGAAGAACCAATTTTCGGTTTCATTGATTTTTCTCCATTGTTTCTCTAGTCTCTATATTTTGTTTATCTCTGCTTTAATCTTTATTATTTCCTTTCTTCTGCTAGCTTTGTGTTTAGTTTGTTCTTCTTTTTTTAGTTCCTTAAGTTGTAAAGTTAGGTTGTTGGTTGGTTCGTTCATTCATTCCTTCCTTTCTTAAAACAGGAACATTTATTGTGCGACTAATCACTGAACTTTCTTGTTTTTAATGTAAGTGTTTACAGCAATAAATTTCACCTTAGCACTGTTTCCACTGTGTCCCATAGTTTTGGTATATTGTATTGTATTTTCATTTTCATTCATTTCTAAATATTTTCTAATCTCTCTGGTGATTTCTTCTTTGATCCATTGATTTTTTAAAAGTGTGCTATTTCATTTCCACAGTTTTGTGAATTTTTCAGTTTTCCTTTTGTTACTAATTTCTAACTTCATCCCACTGTGGCCAGAGAGGACACTTTGTATAATACCTATCCTTTAAAATCTATTGAGACTTAACTTATAGTTTAACATATGCTCTATCCTTGAAAATGTCCCATGTGCCCTGGAGAAGAATGTATATTCTGTTGTTAGGGGGAGTGTTCTCTGTCTGTCAGATCTAGTTGGTTTATTGTGTTGTCCAGGTCCTCTATTTCTTCCTTATCCTCTGTCTGGTTGTTCTATCCATTATTGTGAGAGGGGTACTGAAGTCTCCAACTATTATTGTAGAACTGTCTATTTCTCCTTCATTTGTGTCAGTTTTTGCTTTATATATTTTGATGGTCTGTCATTAGGTGCATAAATGTTAATAACTGTCTTCTTACTGCATTGAACCTTTTATTAATATAGTGTCCTCTGTCTCTTGTAACTTTTTTTTGATTTAAAGTCTATTTTGTCTGATGTCAGTATAGTTTCCCCAGCTTTCTTTTGGTTACTATTTGCATGGAGTATCTTTTCCATCCTTTCACTTTCAATCTGTTTGTGTTTTTGAGTCTCAAGGGAGTCTCTTCTAGCCAGCATATAGTTGGATTATGTGTTTTTATCCAATCTGCCAATCTCCAGCTTTTGATTAGAGAGTTTAATTCATTTACATTTAAAGTAATTACTGATCAGGAGGGACTTTTGTCACTGTGCTATTTGTTTTCAATATGCCTTAGAGCTTTTGTCCCTTCTTTCCTTCATTCTTGTCTTTCATGTTAAATTGACTTTTTTTATAATGAAATGTTTAAATTCCTTTCCCATTTTCGTTTTGTGTATATTCTGTAGCTATTTTCTTGTTGGTTACCATGGAGACTACATTTAACATCCTAAAATTATAACACTCTGGTTTGGATTTATAGCAGCTTAAATTCAGTAACACACAAAAACTCTGCCTCCGCCCCTTTTGGCTATTGGTGTCACAAAATTACATTTTTATACACTGTCTTCCCCAAAATATAGACTAATAATTCTTTTAAATGCATTAGTCTCTCAAATTATGTAGTAAACAAAAAGTACAGTTACAAACATTGTTGCAATATTATTAGCTTTTATAATTGCCCATGTATTTTACTGAGATCTTTATTTCTTCTATGGCTTTGAATTATCGTCTAGTGTCCTTTCATTTCCCCCTATAGGACTTCTGAGCATTTTTTACTGGGAAGGTCTAGTGGTTATGAACTCCCTCAGCTTTTGTTTATCTGGGAATGTCTTTTTTTTTTTTTTTTTAAGATTTTATTTATTTATTTGAGACAGAGAGAGTGAGAGACAGAGAGCATGAGAGGGAGGAGGGTCAGAGGGAGAAGCAGACTCCCTGCCGAGCAGGGAGCCCGATGCGGGACTCGATCCTGGGACTCCAGGATCATGACCTGAGCCGAAGGCAGTCGCTTAACCAACTGAGCCACCCAGGCGCCCTATCTGGGAATGTCTTAATTCCTCCCTCACTTTGAACAAAAATAGTTTTGCTGGATATAAGATTGTTGGTTGACTTTTTTTTTTTTTAAAGCACTTTGAATATACAGATTTCTCCCACTATCTGAAAGTAGAGCATTCCCGTGAAATCTTTTGTAAGCTGAAATGGCATAAACCAAAAAAGCAATTGAAGCATTTTGTAAAAGTGAAAATCCTCTTTGGATTTCTTTCAGTTAGCTAAAACAGATATTAATGTTGGTCTTTCATAAAAAGTGAAGTGGTGTAAAGCAAACTTTCAGATAGTGGGGTGGAAAGCTGTATTGGCCCATCTTCTGGCCACCAAATTTCTGATGAGAAATATACTGAAAATCTTATTGAGGATCTCTTGTATGTAGTGACTCATTTCTCTTTTGTTGCTCTGTCTTTTGCTTTTCAAAGTTTGATTACAGTATGTCTTGGTGTGGGTCTCTTTCATTTTAGTTGAGCTGCTTGAATGTTTACATTCATGTCCCTCCTCAAATTTGGGGAGTCTCGGCTATTATTTCTGCAATTATTCTTTCTGCCCCTCTCTCTCTCTCCTCTCCTTCAGGGACGCCCACAATGCATATGTTGGTACACTTGACGGTGTCCCACAGGTCTCTCAGTCTGTTTGCTTTTCTTCAGTCTTTTTTCTTTCTGTTCTTCAGACTTGATGCTTTCCATTGTCCTATCTCCAAGTGTGCAGATTCTTTCTTCTGCCTGTTCAAATCTGCCTTTGAATCTTCTAGTGAATTTTTCATTTACGTTATTGGAATTTTCGGCTCCAGAATTTTTTGTTTGCTGTTTCATTTTAGGTTTTCTAGCTCTTTATTGATCTTTCCATTTTGTTCACACATTGGATTCTTGACTTCCTCCACATCTTCTTTTAGTTCTTTGAGCATTTTAAAGCAGTTTTTAATTTAAAAAGTCTTTGTTTGGCATATCCCCCTCTTTTTCTGGGACAGTTTCTGTTGATTTATTTCTTTACTCTGAATGGGCCATACCTTCCTGTTTCTTTGTATGTATGCCTTGTGATTTTTTGTTGTTGTTTTGTTGCTGCTGTTGTTGTTGAATACTGGACATTTGAATCTAATAATGTGGTAATTCAGATTCTGCCCCTTTCCCAGGGTCTGCTGTTTTTCATTATGGTTTTTGTTTATTGTTTTCTTGATTGCTGTAGGCTGTCTCTGTACTGAGGATCAGCCTGAGATATAAACTTAAGATCTTCTCAGGTCTTTTATGAGCCATTCCCTGGGCATGCATTGTCACTTTATAATTTTCTCCGTATATGTAGTTTCTGAATATCCTAGTCTTTAATGTCTGGCTCCCAGAAGGGAAAAAGCTAAGAATGAAGGAGGTGGGTAAGGAGGCTAGCCCTTTAGATGCCCTGAAAGTCACTTTAGCATGCAGGGAGCTTGCAACAAAGCACAATAATCACTGCCTCTTTATCTACACCTTTGGAATCAGATGCAGCAATCGAGGACAGATTCCCAGTATCTGGAGGACAGGGTTCTTTTTGCCCACCCTAGCTCTTGTAAGCTATGGGCCAGCTGCTTCAGGAACAGTACACTGTGGCTGGGGGGTGGGCCACGAGTGTCTGCTTTTGTGCTAAGAGCGAAATTAACCACAATGTTTCATCTCTTCCCCTGGAAGTTGCAAGCCTTCAACAGACTCAGAGTTCCAAAGGACTTACATAGACAGATTCTGCCAGTACAACTGTTGTCTAGGTGGGAGACAGATTCCTGGTGCTTCCTACTCCACCATCTTCCCAGAATCCTCTCTTTTTTTTTTTTGCTGAGACATGCAGAGAATGTATAATTTTTAAATCTTTTATACTGATCTTATACACAAAAAAGATTATTAAAAACATGTAGAAATGTGGTGCCTAGGTGGCTCATTTGGTTGGGTATCCAACTCTTGATTTCAGCTCAGGTTGTGATCTTGGGGTCGTGGGATCAAGCCTCACATCAGGCTCCACGCTTGGTGTGGAGTCTGCTTGAGATTCCTTCCCTCCGCCCCTCCCCCGACTTGCACTCTCTCTCAAATAAATAAATATAAATAAATATTTTTTTAAAAAGCATTTAGAAATCACTCAACTTCAGATTGTGTTCAGAACCTATGAAGAGTTATAAAGGCGTTTTTACTATCCATACACATATGTGGGTATGGATATGTGTATACGTGTGAGGGTGGGAATGATAACAAGTGTGATTATTTAGGGCTCCCAGCTTAAATTCAGACAAGGAGGTAAATTACACAGAGACAGTTGACTTATTTCCTACAACTATTATCTGTAAACCCAAAGGTGACTGATCTACTATAAGTTAAGAACCTGAGGCCCAGTTATCAGTTCAGCCCTACCTTACCATGTCACTTTAGGAATATAACCATATTTATGCTCCTGACTAGGGAAAATTCCAGGGTTAGCTCTTTCCACCCTAAATGATCACAAAGCACTTTGGGATTCCCTATTCTAGGTCCAGTGTGTTTTTGAAGGAATCCAATGCTAGCTTTTTGTACCACGAATACTCACTCTTCCTCGTGGACACAGCCTCTACTAAGGGATCTTCAAGGAAGGAGGGAGACACACTGCTGCTGCTGGTTGACTTGTGTAGAGTTTCCTCCTGAGAAAGGTGTGGGCAGAGAAATAAGCACTAAGACATTAGTGCTCCCATGCTAATAACATTTTACTATTAGAGATTTATTTTAATGTGAGGCACCACATTATGTCAAAGGTTCAAGGCAAATAGAAGATAAGCTAGAAGATACCTAAAATTAGACAAGCCTGGGTTTGTGTCCTGGCTTTGTCCCTCATTAGAGTGATGTGACACAGCAAGTTTCTCACCTCAGTACCATCATTTCATATTTAATACCATCTTTACACTGTATTATTGGATCAGATGAGATAATGCACTCAAAATGCTTAACACATTACCAGGCACACAGTGAATGGTGGTTAATATCATTATTAGGGAGATATTTAACACATTTGTAGATAATGCACTCAAAATGCTTAACACATTACCAGGCACACAGTGAATGGTGGTTAATATTATTAGGAAAATATTTAACACATTTGTAAAAGTAATAGATTGTAACTGCATGAAGGTAGATGCTATGTGTCTCATTCATTGTTGTTAGTAACAAACCCACTGTTAGTAAGTGATGAATAAATATTAATATTTGTTGAATAAATGGATGAAAATAAACATTTCACAAAATGTCATATGAATCTAGGAAAATGTCTACATTATGCAAAATAAAATTTAAATTCCTATTACCAATGAGACGAGACCTTCTTAATTTGTTTCAGATTATACCAAGAAGAAGTACAATATTTATTCACGAAAAATTTATTATCTACTATGTGATTGAGGATAGACATGAACCACAAGACAATGTATTTCCGTAATATCTATAGAAAATTGCTAAATATTTTAAATGTGGAAGAAAGAAAATTAGGTTAAAATATTCACCTGTGACCTATGTGTTAAGCATTTTGAGTGCATTATCTCCCTGCCCTACTGAGTTAAGGTGACTTTAAGAGCTAATTTAGCCATTCACAATAAATGGCTTCACCTAAAACCTACTGCTAAAAGCACTGGTTTCACATAAGCTACAATACAAAGGATCTGGTCAAAGAACAGGAGATGAAAAAAGGCTGTGTAAACCACACAGTTCAAACAAAGAAGGTCTGAAGAGTGACCTCCCCACTCTTGGTACATACCATGAAGAATAAATCAAGCAATGTAACCAAAGCCTCAACCTGAACACGTTGTAGTGGGTACACAAATCTCCAGAAAAGCTAGCAAGCAACTAGAACGACCTCCTTCTGCCTATGAAAGGTCAAAAGGAAATAAAAGCCAAGAGTATCTCTTAGGAAAAGAAAAAGGAGACATACACAGTAGTCCCAAATAAGTATGAGGTGGGTGCCACCTTGATTTAAACAGCAGAAACCCCCCCTCCACCCCACCCCCCCGCCTCACATACCTCAGCCTACCTCCCCCAGAAACATTTTTAAAGCCCAATTCTGAGCATGTCCACATATTCCACACCACTCCTCTCTGCTGTTCTGACTTGCTCCCACTCTGAACAACTAAGAGCCCATCCTGGGGCAGCTGGGTGAGTGCAAGTCAGTAAGAGACAGAGAAGTGGTTAGGGCACTGGCATGGTGGCAAGGCCTTTTGGGATTTGCTCCCAGAAGCTGTTGGTGATCCTCTGCCCCTGCATGCCCACCACAGGCAGATGCACCCAATTTCTCACTGCTTAAAAACTAATCTTCATTAGGCTAGTTCCTGGCCCAGAGGAATCACAAAGACACTCAGAAGGTGCCAGGGGACTTGGAGGTCAGATCTCCTCAGAGAGAGGATGTAGGTGTAGACTCCTGCTTGGCTTGTCCTGTCATGTCTATTCCCTCGACCAAACACTTTCTGCCTGCCTGGGGGATCATGATGGTCTGTGATCTCTGAAGCTACTGCCAGAAACTTGCTTGTTTGTATTGTCTGATCCAGTTACCAGTCTCTGACACTGACTAAACTAGGCCTTTTCTAGTTCTACATCCTGACCAGTGACTCCTAACCAGGTCCTGGTTGGAACAAGGTCACTTCCAGAACCCCTGCTGCTCCTTCACTGCTGCCTTGCCCCAAGGGTGGTACTGGAGGCTGCCAGAATCGTCTCAGAAACCGGTCTGGGTGATTAAAGAATAATTCCTTAATTCTAACTTGGATGAATGTGGAGCGGATGGAGCCAGCAACCACAACAGCAAACAAGCCAGGAGGCTGGCTGTGTGCGTGTATTGTCTGTCTGGCAGGGCCTGAGGGAAGAGGGAGGCAAGGATGTAATTTCATTTTACACAGTGGAGATACACAATACTGATGCTGTAGACAAAGGGCTTGAGAGAGATTTGGGAAGCACCAGCACCCTGATTGTTTCTGAAAAACAGGGAGGACGTGAGATCTTCCTCCAAAGGGCAGCAGGGGAAAGATGAAATCTGAAGAAGCCTAGCAGAGTTTTCTTTTGCAGACCTGTCTACTGGTATTACTATTACAGAAAGAACAAGCTTCACTATGGGTAGGGGTGTGTGTGTGTGTGTGTGTGAGAGAGACAGAAGAATCCATGGAAAAATATTTTTTATTTTTCCTTCCCCAAAACAAAGGGAAGCATTCTGAAGATAATATGTTTGCATTTTTTTTTTTTTTTTACTGATTTTAATACCACTATAATCTAAGACCATACAAATATTTCAAAACTTATTCTATAAACTCTGGCCACTGTACTGGTCTTTCCCAAAAAACAGTAAGTAATCCACTGTTTCATTTCCTGCTAAACAAATTAATTTCAATCCCAACTTTATTGACTGAAAGATGGGAAGAGATTAAACAACAACTGAGGCAACACGGTTAGTAAACTAGGTCAGAGAGGCTCGCATTCTGAACATGGAGTCAAGATGTGTGGAACGGGCAGTCGTGGGACTCACCTCGGAGTCAGAGCTGTCCAGTTCAGCCAGAGTTGGAGCTTTGAGGAGCTTCTTCCGCTGTACAGGCACCTGCTGTGCAGCACTCAATCCATTCTCTTTCGTTTGTGATGTTAAACCTCCATTCACCATCGATGATTCCACAATGTTCTTTGGAGATTCAGGGGTAGTTACATCTGGTAAAAGAAAGGCAAAAGCTTACCTTTTCTCAAGCTAAGAAAAGTAATCAGTAGACCAAAAGCACTTTCCCAAGTACCTGCACTTGGTAGCACAAACCACAAGCCAGGTGACATGGCACTTCCATGTCACACTAATACAACACAGGGGCTTGATATAATAACGCCTATGTATATAAAACATTTTGTTAGATATTAACTGTCAGATTAAAGAAAACCTTTAAATGAATAGTAACAGATTAACATTTATACAGTAGAACTTAGAGCTGGAAGGAATCCTATAGATAACTGACTATAACTTCTTAATCTTGCAGAGACCCAGAGAGGCTAGTTTTACTTTATCGTCTCCAAAGAGCTAGTGATAGATGGACCAAAGTGGTGGCATACACACAGCCACAGCTGGCATATGGCTTTAAGATTTGACAATGGTTTAATTTAAAAATCAAAATAGTGAATAATCTATATTCATATAAACATGAACACAAAGAATCTGGGATACATTCCCTCGGATAGAGCTGATGTAGATTATTCACAGCTCAAATCTGGGTGGGAAGGCAATACAACAGATCAAAGAAATGTGGCAGCAGAGTATAGTGTATACAGAGTACAGAGTACATATGTATGAGTACAGAGCATGGAGTATACGGAATAAAGTACAGCCCAGAGAGCACAGAGTACGTAATGTAGGAGTACAGAGCATGGAGTATACAGAGTATGTAATACAGAGCACAGAGTATAGAGAGTACAGAGCACCAGGTATATAGAGTACACAGTACAGACTACAGAGTATAAAGGATACAGTACATAGTACAGAGTATATTTTTGTAAAATGAAAGACTTTATTTTGAATATGCATATTATTCATTCAGTTTAATTTTTCATAGTGCATATAGCTATGTATGGAAGTATACATGGAAAAATAAACATTAGAAATACCTAAGGATGGAAGTATATAGGCAAAGAAGACATTCAATACATACTCATGAACAGGCTTAGAAGCATCACAGGACAGCATCCATTAGAAAAGAATGAAAACCATGCAAAAAATCTATCCAAACCATGGCAGGCAAATGCAATCAGTACAAGTTATAGTATCTTATACAGGACAAAGGTATACATGTTCTTTGGATTAAAAACATAATATAAATAAACATGGCGCGGCTTTTATGTCCAAGCCAAGAATCAGCTATAGAAGTAATAAGGGTGGATGCCGCATGTGACAATAAAACATTAAAGGCCACAGTATATAGTCTAGAGTATGTAGTACAGAGGAGAGTACAGAATATATAGTAGTACAGAGAGTCCACAGAGCATAGAGTGTATGTTGTATAGAGTACAGAGCACTGAGTATAGAGTACAGATCATAGAACATATAGAGTATATAGTACGGAGCATAGCGTATACACAGCATGCGGTATGTAGGCTGTACAGAGCACGGAGTATATAGTACCCAGAGTACAGGGCACAGAGCATATAGAGCAATGTACAGACTACATATAAAGCACAGAGTACAGAGTATAGTGTCCAGTACAGCTGACCTCTTGTTTCATCATTTGTGAAATGGGCTTACAACAGACATGGGCTCCTTTTGAAGAGTAAGTTAACAACTGCATATAAAATACTTATTCAATACGACAACACACAATAAATGCTGGTAATTATTAACACTGATTTTTATCTCCATTTGTCAGTAAAGTAAGGCTCAGGTGACTCAGGCAGGTACACAGCTAGTGTATGGCACAGCTGATACTTGATTCCTTGTTAGTATTGATTCTAAAGGCCACCTTTTTGCCCCGTACCCTGTACTCACTCTTCCAATGCAAGTGGAACCAATTTTCTTCAGTATTTCAAATGACGTGTTAAACACAAAGTTTAATAACCACTAAATTAGAGAATTTAAAAGCGAAAAAAATAAAAGTGAAAAAAAAAGTAGTCACTGCATAATTTAATTCACAGACCAACAACATGAAACTGATCTTTGGACATGGAATAGTCTGTGAAACTCCTGCGGTTGAAGGTAAAGTGTACACTAAGCATGAAAGTGAAATAAGACATGATTAAAACTCCTTTAGGAGGGAAAGCACTGTAACTGCAGTTACTGTAAAAATATACCAGTTTCCTTCCCAACATACAATTTTTATATGCTTGAAGTGTAAGAGGTGGACTTCCAGGAAACATTCAGTGAATAAGCGTGTTCTAGTATAGTCTTCCTTGACATTATTAAAAGAATCATGTAAATTATTATAAATGATAGGTATCTAGTTTAATATTTACAATTTTTGCTAATTTTAGAGATCAAGAAGGTCAGAGCACATGCCCTCGTGAATGAGAAGAAAGGGTTTGAGTAAGCAAGGAAGGAGAGAGAAAAGGAAGAAAAGACAGATCTGTCAATCGTTTATTTAACATAACATTTTTATTTTTTAAAAAGATTTTATTTATTTATTTGACAGAGAGAGAGCCACAGCGAGAGAGGGAACACAAGCAGGGGGAGTGGCAGAGGGAGAAGCAGGCCCCCTGCGGAGCAGAGAGCCAATTGCGGGGCTCGATCCCAGGACCCTGGGATCATGACCCGAGCCGAAGGCAGACGCTTAACGAATGAGCCACCTAGCACCCCTAACATAAAATTTTTAATAGAAAACTTGACAAGACATGCGTTAATTTTCTTATTACCTTTCCAGATGTTAAGTAGCTATAACAAAAACATAATTGGGGGAGGGGCTGCACTGAGGGGGGCTAAAGGGCAAAAGCAGCAAGTTTTTACACAAATTTAAAGGTTAAAATCTTTAAATAAATCTTTCCTAAGGGGGTGTAGAGACACTTAATGGAATAACTGAGAAGTTTTCCAGAAAGCAAAGGAGGAAATGATTAGGCTAACTGATTAATTCCTATTCAAGAAAAAAAGGAGTGTTCAAATACAGTCTTGAAGCATATCGTAAAAGATCTTCTTCTATAGCTTATCTTATTTTATACACTTCCTACAGAATTGCTCATGTTGTTGTAGTAGGTAGGCTTTTAAGAGAAAGCATAAAGTTAAAACACACAAATCCTTGTCTCCTCTTAGCTGCCCAGATCCCAATCGAGGCGCCCACATGGCAGGTATTGTGAGAAGAGAAGCTGTCAGCTTTCCGCGGTGGTCTCACATCTCCATTCCTCCAAGTCAAAGCTTCCCTAAGGGTGAGACCACTACTAGTGCATGGAGGAACACTGAAAGTTTTAATGGTTATATATTTATTTTAATGCTTCAGAAAACATATATCAGATACATGGCTTTATGGATGTTTTTCCTAAAGAAATTTATTTAAAAGTCATTGATGGTATATTAAAATAATTTCTAGAATACTGGTGGTACTTAAAGCCTGGCAAAAATCTGACCTGCAGTTTAGGGGAAAACTGTTGAGTGACTGTGGCTGCCATGATTTCATTTCATTCCCAATGCAGGAGATTTGAGAAATGACCTAATAGCTCTCTACTTGTCTGAACACTACTATGAGGTTGATAACTGTAATTTGAGCTCATTGACTGAAACGGAGTTCACTGACTGAAATAATAACCTCGTACGGAGTTCAAAGCTTTGAGATAAATGGAATTAATAAAAAAAATTATGTAACAGGCTTCAGGATGATCTCCATATATAAGACTAAATACTGTGTGTGATTTTACCTCATACTATATATTTGTAAAAGATCCGGTGGAACATATTTTTGAGAGAAATTTTTAAGTAGTTTGATTACTAATAACTTTCTGTTCCAATGAAGAAATCTGTATTATTACTTCAATGTATCAAGTGAGAAAACCAAGGAATTGAATAAGACTTTGTACTTCTATATAAGACAGAATTTCTTGAGAAAAAACTGGTGATATTTATAAATAAGCAAAAACATTTAAGATGCTAGATATGGCTTTAGAAGTCACATACCTCAGGTTCAGCATCTAAAATGCATAACCATGATATTAAATACTTTATGTAATAACTTTATATATGTTAGATTCACCCAACTGCTGCCTTATTTGGTTGGAGGAAATATGACTGAGATACTGATTACATATTTATTATTTGCATTGCAAAAACAAATTACACTTACCTTAATTAATGTTGAATGGATTGTTAAGATTTTCCACTAAGCATTAATATTTCTAAGACATACCTAAGCAGCAGAATATACTTCATTATGTCTTATTCTATACTTAAGTCCAGAGGCATTATCTATACTACATATTTAAATATTTACTCCTTAGTGTGTTAATTTCCCAACTTAGAGAAGAACTGTATTCTAATCTTTGCATTTAGGTTAAAAGAATGGATCAATTTTTTCCATTTATTATTTGGGAAATTTTAATTAATTAGTCAAAATGGAACAATGAAAACATAAAAGTAGCTAGCACAAGAAATTGAGAATGAAGCATGTGGAAATCATCAAGTGCACTTAAAGTAGCAAATGATAAGCAGTTGAAAGCAAATACAGTTTTTTGCTACTCTTTTACATCATGGAGGTGAAGAGCTTTCTTCCCAAATTGGAAGCCACCATATAATCTATAAGAACATGAAATACACTTATATATAACGTGTATGGGCATGCAAACTGTCCAGATCAGCCACCTGTGCTTAATTTATGTTAGCCAATAGTCAATGTGTTTAGATAGCCAGCCACTCCCTTATAGTCCAACTGATGGAAACATCTCCAGAAAAAGAGACACAGTCTCTATAATATATACTGCCAACTTTTGGAGAATATCAGTAACAAATATGTATCAAAACACTTCTAAGTTTATTTTCCAGACCATTTTTGTAAGGTTTTTCTTTTTCTTTTTTACAACATTTACTCTGCAAATGGTTGATAAAATAAAAATTTTCAAATGAATAAAGAAAATAGAAAAAGCTCTTCAGTGGTCAGTCAAAAATGGTAAGTGAAGACTAAAATATTTATCTGAGTTTTTTAAAAGCACAAATGACAATGATGCCTGAGACCTACAAATATAAACAGAAATTTAAAAACAGTTGG